ACCCTCAGTACCCCTGTATGTGTGTCCTCCCCTTGACCCCATCCTTACCTGTCACATGAACGGAGAGCAGATTCATTGCATAACTATATCTCACAGTAGGCCCTCTCTCCAACCTAAAGATGTATGTCCCCGCGTCCCTCCTCTGGGCGTCTCTGATGTCCAGGGAGCAATTGTAGGCCCGGGGGTCTCCAACAAGGAGGAATCGGCCCCGGGTCTCATCGGCCACCGCACGTTCTGGGTTGTTTGTGGCCACTGCTGGATCTTCAGGGGAATCTGCCCTTTCCCGGAACCAGTAGCCGTGAGCTGGGTCAGAGTCCCGCCAGTCTTCCTGGGGATAGGAGACGGAGCAGGACACATGGACACACAGGCCCTCCTGCACCGACACGGACGGCTGCACCTTCAGCCGGTATTTCGGATCCTGAGCCAGGGACCCTGCGGCGAGATGAGGATCAGTCAAGCCCCCGCCCTGCTCACCTACCCACAGCAGCAACAGCAGCAGCGGCAGCAGCAGCATCTTTGGGGTGACAGTCTTGGGGCCTTGGTGTCACAGGATTTAGAGGAAGCCCCAACGGGAAGCCCAGGGCTGAGGTCAGAAAATGACAGACCACAAAAGAGGAACTCGGCACCCACAGGCTGCCGGAGCACGGGAATCCTGGAGAGGAACCGTCCACATGAGGCCCGCCGGGGATCACAAGCAGCGAGCACTGCCCAGGGGAGGCTCCCGGCTCCCTGTCCTCCACCCGACCCCCCTGCACCTCTGTCCACAGCTGGAAGTCAGGCCGGTCAGTCCCCGCCAAGTATGGGAGGCAGGAGGGGCAGCCGGGGAAGCTCCAGGCATGAAAGATGGGGATGGGTCCCCCCACTCCGGATGAAGGAGGTGGTAATTAGTTACTGAGATGAACGTGACAACGGCACACATGAGCATCTCTGCTTTCAGGGACTGGAGTCCAAGGAAGAACAGGACAGGCTTTGTCTCATCCTGGAGAACTTCTTTGACGCCCCAGGTCCCGTTGATACAGTATGAGCTGGGGGTAGCCAGCTCGGTGTTTGGAGGAAAAACTCGAATGCTCTGTGCAGTTAGAAGGTGAGTTCCCAGGTGTAAATGGCCAGAGTGGGTGGGACCAGAATGAAGGTGCCATAAAAAAATGATCCCACGGGAGCATGGGGCTTCTTGACCTAGTAACAGCCGCCTGCCCTGGCCCCCCTGGTGTTGACTGCACACGCCAGGCCTGGGAGCCAGACACTGAGAGCAAGATGACAGCCTTTGGGGGCAGGTGGGTCTGCCCTTCTCCGCCTCCAAGCCTCAGCTTTTTCATCTGTCACGTGCAGGAATAATAATGTTCAACCCTCGTCCTGGGCATTTTCTACAGACTCTGGTGTGGCCGTCTTGCAGGTCACATGTCTGGCTCTGCCCATTCTCTGAGTCCCTCCTTCAGTGAGAAGCTCCTGGTGGTCAGTGGTATCTTTGATACCTAAGATACCAAAGTCTCATCTGAGGCCTCCAAAGACGGGGTACGGGGCACACACTCTGCAGTCAGATGGCTCTGGGCCGAGCCTAGCTCCCTAATGCATGCTGTACCACCTTGGGAAGGGGCTTAACCATTCTGTGCAGAATTGCATCCCCGTTGTTCATGGGATGTTGGGGCTGAACTGTATCACCCCCACCAAAATTTCATACTTGCAAATCCTAACCCCCAGTGCCTCTAAATGTGATTGCATTTGGAGATGGGGCCTTTAAAGAGGTTGTTTTTATCTTTCAGTTGCCCAGTCGTGTCCAACCTTTTACAACACCATGGACTGCAGCAGGCCAGGCCTCTCTGTCCTTCACCATCTCCCAAAGTTTGCCCGAGTTCATGCCCATTGAATCGGTGATACCATTCAACCATGTCATCCTCTGACACCCTCTTCTCCTTCTGAGCTCTATCTTTCCCAGCATTAGGGACTTTTCCAGTGTTCGAATCAGATGACCAAATTACTGGAGCTTCAGCTTCAGCATCAGTCCTTCCAATGAGTATTCAGTGTTGATTTTCCTTAAGATAGACTGGTTTGATCTCTTCGCTATCCAAGGGACTTTCAGGAGTCTTCTCCAGCACCACAGTGCAAAGGCATCAATCCTTTAGAACTCAGTCCAGCTCTCACAACTGTACATGTGAGGTTATTAAGGTAACATGAGGTCATTGAGGTTGGCCCTCATAGGACCAGTGTCCATGGAATAAGAAGTGGTTAGGACAGAGACACACACTAAGAAGCTACCATGTGGAGACATGGGGAGAAGATGACTGTCTACAAGCCAAGAAGAGAGGCCACAGAAGGCTGTATACATATATGAATAACTGAATCACTTTGCCGTACAGCAGTAATAAGACAACATTGTAAAGCAACTATAATTAAAAATTGTTTTAAAACTTAGGGACTTCCTTGGTGGTCCAGTGGTTAAGAATCCAATGCAGGGGATACGGGTTCAATCCTTGGCTCAGGAAGATCCCACATGCTGCAGCGTAAATAAGCCCGTGCACCGCAACTACTGACTCTGCGCTCTAGAGCCCTGGAGCTGCAACTACCGAAGCCCGCGGGCCTCGAGCCTGTGCCCCTCAACAAGAGAAGCCACCACATTGAGTAGCCTGTGCCCTGCAATGAAGAGTAGCCCTCACTTGCTGCAACTGGAGAAAGCTGAGATGGCGGCAACAAAGACCCAGCACAGTCTAAAATAAGTTAATTTTTTAAAATGTAAAAATGAAGAAAAAGTAAGGAGCCAGCCCCGCGGACACCTTGATCTCAGACTTCCAGCCTCCAGATTCCTGAGCAAATGAATTTCTGCTCTTTAAACCTGCCAGCCAATGGAACTTCCTTGAAGCAGCCCTAGCGAGTGAACCCACGGGGCCTCCTGGAAGAATCAACCCATGGAGTGCTCTGTGCACACAGTGGCCAGTGGTCTGCCGGCAGGATGGGACCCCTCTGAGGTCGGGAGGAGAAAAGGGAAGGAACGGTGTGGCAACCCCAGGAAACTTCTTCTCCCCTCTGCCCTGGCGCTGATCCCAGCGGGCTCTTTCTTCCGGCGTGCTGACCTGGCCTCTGCTCGGGTTGGCCCTCTGCTGGTTGAGCCAGTTGCTGCTCCTGCAGCCACCGGTCCAGCCCAGCTTCCTGGGGGGGTGGGGAGGGGGTGGGGCTGACACGGGGGGAGCACCAGCCGGGTGGGGGAGGGGCTGCAGAGTTGGGCGTGGCCAGGGCTGACCCACCCGGGAGGACCGGGCTGTGGGAGCCCCGGGGAGGGAGAGAGGATGTCCCTGGAGGATGGGACGGGTGTGTGCATCCCTGACGATATGGCGATGACCCTTGACTGTCTCTCAGTCAGGGTTCGAGAGATGGTGGTTGGTCTAAGTGGGTTGCATTGTGGGAACTGAGGTGCCCTGACTCTGTATTGTTCCTCCATTCCTGGGGTCCTAAGCCCACTTGCCTTCTTCTTACCACCTTCCAGAATCCTCCTTGGTTGTCTCTTGCATCATCCTTAGGGTTTATAGTTGTGAACAGAGGGCAGAAGCTGGGAAAGGCAACAGGAATTCCCATACAGCTTGAAAAGCCTAAATATTTACTAAAGAAAGCTGAGCGCCGAAGAATTGATGCTTTTGAACTGTGTTGTTGGAGAAGACTCTTGAGAGTCCCTTGCACTGCAAGAAGATCCAACTAGTCAAGCCTAAAGGAAATCAGTTCTGAATATTCATTGGAAGGACTGATGCTGAAGCTGAACCTGCAATACTTTGGCCACCTGATGAAAAGAACTGACTCATTGGAAAAGACTCTGATGCTGGGAAAGGTTGAAGGCAGGAGGAGAAGGGGACGACAGAGGATGAGGTGATTGAATGGCATCAACAACTAGATGGACATGAGTTTGAGCAAGCTCCTGGAGTTGGTGATGGACAGGGAAGCCTGACATGCTGCAGACCATGGGGTCACAGTCAGACATGACTGAGCGACTGAACTGAACTGAAGCCCACTTGCCTTCTTCCTACCACCTTCCAGAATTCTCCTTGGTTGTCTCTTGCACCATTTGGGGGATTTATAGCTGTGAACAGAGGGCAGAAGCTGGGAAATGCAATAGGAACCATACAGCTTGAAAAGCCTAAATACTTACTATTTATCCCTTTACCAAGTCTCCTGACTTCTGACCTGGAATATCAGGTTGAGAAGCTTGCAAATTCTTCTGTTGGATTAAAGAGTGAGAAGAGTCTTTTGGTTATGATCAGCTCTAAGCTTTAGGAAATTCTCTAAATGGCATTATTAGATTTTGCCTATAGCAGGAGTAGTAGGAGGTAGAGAGGATGGAAAAGGAAGATCCAGGAATGGAGAGAGATGATGCTGGAGGTCAAGCCAGGGATCCAAGGAAGAGTTTTGAGTAAGAGAGAGACTGACAGATGTAGCCAATGTGGTACCTGGGGACAGGACTGACCCAGCTCTGGGTGAAATGTGCAAAAAAAATAATAATGTTGCCCACCATCAAGCCATCAGCCACAGCAGCCTGCCCCGCTGCTGTGTCCTGAGGAGAACTCAGGATGGAGAAAAATGCAATACTTGCCTTAGATTATTAAAATGCATATCTAAGGAATGATTTCCAATGGACTCAGACTTTTGCATCCTCCCATACATAGAAAAGCACTAAAATCATTACCTTGAGGTATCTGATTTTTGTGATTAGCAGTGATCTTTTGATGTTCAGTTACACATTTGTTTTCAGGAAAAATGCCTATATATCCTGGCTCCTCCCTTACCTCTACAGAGCAGCTCCTCGGAGCTATCTAAAAGGCTGTCTCCCAGGCTATAGTCCTCAGTAAGCTCCCCAAATAAAGCATAACTCACAACTTTCAGGTCGTGTGTGTTTCTGTGTGTGTGTGTGTGTGTGTGTGTGTGTGTGTGTGTGTTTCAGTCAAAAGTCACAAGGTATCAAGACTTCTGTTGCATATTTCATACTTCCATTTATTCCTCACAACAGCCCTGTGAGGCTGGACTTCTCATGTCTGTTTTACCAAAGTAGGAAACCAAGGCATGGTGGATGGGGGTCAGGGTAGTTGGGTCACAAGATGCTACTTTCTTAATAAATGAAAGAGCATGGATGTGATCCCAGGTCTCTGTGATTGCAAAGCCTAAGACATATAGCAGGAAACGTTCAGGCAGTAGTTCATGAACCCACTGCTGATGGGGATATTAGGTCTCCAAGAATTAGCCTGTGGGTCCTCCTTCCTGCGGAGGATATGGATGTCCCGACGCTGAGGCTCATACTGCCTCTGGTGCCTCACTTGGTCCTGATCTCCGCATATTCCGATTGAGGACTCTTCCGAGGTTTCTCCCCACGGAAGATGATGGAGGAATAATGCAACTCCTGCTCCAACTCCAAAGAGGGGGTGGCCCCTGTGTAACTTGTGGGGCCAGAAGATTCCTCCGACTTGGATTCCTGCTGGCTATCCTGTGCGGAGAGCAAAGAAAGGGGTCACATCAAGGTAGTTTTGGGATGAGAAGGCAGAGAGGGCCCATGAAATGAATTTGACTCTGGGACAAGCATTTATTCATTCTTCCATTCTGTTATTAAACATTTCTCAAGGTTCTGTTTATGCAATCATCCAACAGATATAAGCCTACAGATTTTTTTCCAACTCTACAGAACACTCACATAGACCTATGTAGAAAATAATATTATGTTACTGGCTCAGGGATTAAATCCACATCTGCCTCTCCAGCACTATAGGCAGATTCTTTACCACTGAGCCACCTGGGAAGCCCTATGTAGAAAATATTATTATGTTACAGGGAAACATTCAAAGAAGGTAGCTACTCCCCAGTGATAGGGACAGAATGAGGGACAGAACAGGTGATTAAACAGTTAATCCCACTAGGGGATTGTAAGTAGAAAAATATGGGAGACCCCTGCAAGTTAATGATTACTCGAGAAAACAGATTTCAGTTCAGTTCAGTCACTCAGTCGTGTCCAACTCTGCAACCCCATGGACTGCAGCACGCCAGGCCTCCCTGTCCATCACCAACCCTTGGAGTTTACTCAAACCCATGTCCATCGAGTCGGTGATGCCATCCAACCATCTCATCCTCTGTCGTCCCCTCTCCTCCTGCCTTCAATCTTTCCCAGCATCAGGGACTTTTCAGATGAGTCAATTCTTCACATCAGGTGGCCAAAGTATTGGAGTTTCAGCTTGAGCATCAGTCCTTCCAATGAATATTCAGGACTGATTTCCTTTAGGATGGACTGGTTGGATCTCCTTGCAGTCCAAGGGACTCTCAAGAGTCTTCTCCAACACCACAGTTCAAAAGCATCAA